GAGATCAGGTGGGCAATGTTTACCAGATATTGGTCATGGTGTTTTCTGCTTACAATGGCTGTGTTCTGTACTAGAGATCAGGTGGGCAATGTTTACCAGATATTGGTCATGGTGTTTTCTGCTATACAATGGCTGTCTTCTGTTCTGGAGATCAGGTGGGGAATGGGCGAATAATTTAAAAACAGTTTGAACGTTTTGCATCTGTTTAGTAAAAGGGGAACAGAGTGACAATATGGATTGAATATATATATACATAGATATGTATGTATGTATGTATGTATGGCTCAAACGGTATAGTGCTCGCCTCCGGTGCAGTAGGTCGCGGGTTCAATCCCCGGCCGGGCCATACCAAAAACCATTATAAAAATGGTACCTAATGTCTCCTTGCTTAGCACTCAACATAGGTTGAAGTACGGAACAAAGCCAGTGTTGAATGACTGGTAACAGAGGGTCATGTGGAAGATAGATTATAGTTTACCCTTTATAAATAAAATTCAAAATAAAATAAAAATTAATATGTATGTATGTATGTATTTGCGTACGCATGTACGCACAGACATATGTATGTACGTATAAAAGTACGTATGTCTGTCTGTCTGTACATATATCTGTACCGTGTACAAACATACACGGTACAGATATATGTATGTATGTATAAAAGTACGTATGTCTGTCTGTCTGTCTGTCTATACATATATCTGTACTGTTTATTTTTGTGTGCTTGTGTTTGTGTGCATACAAACATGGTTTTGTAAATGAAAGTACGTCAGTACCCAAGTATCTTTTATTTGCAGTCATGTGGCTGTCAAGGCGAATATGACTGGAGCGCCTGCACCGCTTCTTGTGGTGGTGGCCTGCAGACTAGAAGATGTAGTGACACCAGCATCGTCACGCGGGTGTGCAACTCTCAAGCTTGTGGTAAGTTGTCTTCAAACTCTTGAATTAGCATGGTTGTAGAGGTAGAAGGGAGATCAAAGGCGGCTGGTTTAACCACATTATTATCAGACACGCCAGTTCTTAGTACAGGGATCGGTTTGGGGAGGAGGGGTTATAATCATTGGAAGAACATGTATCGAAGAACTGAAAAAATTTATGGTAGTCAATAACCAAAGTAACCAAAATGAAGCATGGTTAGATATGTGTAATATGAGAGGTATTTCGTGACTTGAGGCTAAATTGCGAGTGGGTGATAACATATCTACGCACACACACTTTAAACTACCCACAGAATACAGAAAAAACATCCTTCTTTTTAAAAAAACATGATATCCCATTTCAATGTACTTCAATCTATATACATATTCCTACTTTTTGTCAGTTAGTTTAATTGGTACTGCTATCAATAATAATGTTTTAAGCCAGTTCCAATGACATTTTGTACAGTGACAAATGAAATGTAGTCCATCTTGTGGGATCACAAAAGGGACAGATACATGTATCCAGCCGGAACATTTGGATACACAAATTTAGAAGCGCTGTATATGCATGTATATTGACATTGTGTGCACTTAATCTTATAATCTTGCCAAAACTGATTCTCCAGCAAGACTGCCAACTGTGCTCAAATCTCGTATGGACATCATGCTCTTTCTGAGGTCTGCAAAACAGCATATATGCTGTAGCACAAGTCAATAGTTCTATATTACATTTTATCAGAAAAAATGGGATACACCCCCCTCCCCTAACACTTTTTGTGTTCTCTTTTAAAGGGGCCTATGGAGCAAATTTTGTCAAATATTTTTTTTTTCTTATAAAAATAATTATAATTTCTTTACACTGAAATTGTGCATCTGTGTTCCAGCAAGAGTACCGGAACCTCTTGGATTCTGGCCGCTACAGAACTCCACTGAGGGACGAGACTGTAGTCGTCATGGCAACAATGCTGATGTCCACGGTGTATCATTTAATCGTGGTAAGAGCCAGTAGAAGTTGTGAGAGAGTTTTCATTAATCGGGTTGACATTTGGTATGAAGAACTATCATTTAATGGTGGTAAGAGCCAGTAAAAGTTGGGTTGACATTTGGCATGGCGAACTACAAATTATGCAGTCAGTTACTCGGTTACTGGACGGTATGCCGTTAGACAAGGCGCTGACGTCATTGTTTTCTTAATTCTTAATATATACGTATTATAAACCCAGGAAATTACGCTCACACCACACAACTCCATTTTCAAACAAAAATGATTTTAATTGTCAGTACCATGCATTTGAAATTATGCCAATTTCGGTAGGTGGCCCTAAATCAAAGCAGCTCGCTTTTAATTAAAGTTATACAATATATTTTTCAATTATAATGGTAATAAATATACTGATATTATATTTTAAAATATTGCTTATTTTGTCTGCTACTGTTTATTTACATATGCTAGCTACGTTAATGTAATATCCCACAATTTAATAACACTTCTTGTAACGCCAGATAACAAATATGAACATCTTGTTGATGAAGTAATCTTAGAATATTTCATAAATAGACTGGGTGATCAATTGAAAAATGTATAAAATAATCGACTTAGCATGTTTTGCATATGTTTCATTTTCTAGAAAGCTATGATGACGCCTATGGTTCTGCAAAATTTGCGGGAACGGCTATTTCTTATCTTACAATTCCGAATGAAGATGGCAGTTTAGAGACTCGCTCGTTTACGTACGTCGGTTTTGTGAGAATCTTCGCTGAAGATGCCAAGAATGAGAGTCCCCTGTTTAATTTTCAAATAGACGAAAATGGTGTTTTCAGCAAGTACGGCACCCATATTTGGATTATAGGTCCTAACAAATTATATGTCGTTTTAATGATCGCGCAACCGCACAAGTCCACTAGTTCCTATTCACTTCCGGTATTCTCAGGCTTTACCTGGGTTCACGCTGCCGTTTCCTACGACTATACCACCGGGCTGTACCACATGTACAAGAACGGCGTTGAATTGGGGGAGTCATATGTGGGCCGACACATCCATGCTACAAGCGGCTCAGTTCGTATTGGCGCGCGCCACCTATCGTCTGGTGATACCCGCTACTTCAAAGGAGCCATGAAGTGTGTGCAGTGGTTTGGTGAGGCGCTCAACGCAAAGCAGATTCAGGAGACCATGCACGCTTGCGATAACACTGTGCCCTGTCGTGGTTAGTCCACGGAACTGTTTCACAAATGGACTTTATCCTGAAATAGGCCTATCAATATTTTTCTTTTACGCCGAACACCTAATCTTGACCCACGATAAAGAAGTTGTACATAGTCTATGAAGAATCAAAATCGTTACAGCGTTTTCTTTCTTTGACACATTAAATAAATTTGAAAATTATTGCATTGTGATGAAAAGTATTCAAAAAGAGCAATTGGTAGACAAAGTGTGTTGCATTTAAAGTGTAACTTGTTCTGTTCCGTTCAAATTTATTCAAATTTAATTTTTTTAGAAATATCTGTAGATCTAACTAACTGATCATTTAATTAAACGAATTCTGAGCAGACGGTCCGTTGTATTGGATTTTGAATGAACATAGTGGTTTTATTGCATTCTTGTTTAGCTTTAATATTCATAACCAGATACAGAAAGGGTCTTTCCTTCAGATTCGTTCTTCATATACAGTATAAGATGCAGGATGAATATCGTAAATATTTTAACCCAAAACACGAACATTTTTTACCGTGTTTCTTCATTTTCATCCATTATGGTATTGAACTTTAAAGAAGGTCTGCAAGTGTGCTTTCCTTGCCTTATGTTGGCAAAGATACAATGATTTAACCGCAATACACCTCTGTGTGAATTCTTTAGAACATCAGCGAGAGGTACAAAATAAATGATTATTAAATTTCAGACTAAAACTCGATGTTTGATCAGAGTTATGAAGATAAGAAACACACCAAAATGTAAATTAGATGCAGCATATACATTTCAAAATACTGGTTTGCATATATCTAAATTTTACACCTCTTTAGACATTTTTTGGACAAGAAGAGTTAACAAGTTAAAAGAAATATATGAAGTATAACGTAGGAATTGATACCACTACCTCTACCTTTCGTGAAAGTATGTAAAAAAATAAGAGATACAAATCCAAATATGCGCATTGGGAATTATCTATTAAAATATATTATAGCACATTATTTTATGCAGCGATAAAATTGTGCAAATGAACCTAAAGCCATGTTCTATAGTAATAGTATCATTGTATGACAGTGGGCTGGGTCTTAGCCTCGATCAGTCCAACTGCGTTGCAGATTTTAGCCCGTTTTTTAAAGATGGTTTCATTCACAATTATTAACCAAATAAATTCACCTGACTGGCAATACATCAGATTTATAGTGTTAAAATGTAACAAGGTAGTCCTTTAGCTTCTCTCTTGCTACAACAGCAGGGAATATTCCAATGTACTCAAATATCAGTGCTTCCATGGCATAAACATGAATGTTCCGAGAACGTATAACAGCGATGTATATTTGTATTATCATGTACTAAAACTCCATTCCCATAGAGACCTAAATCTCTGGGAAAAGAGTCGGTCTATGTGGATTGCTCCTCCCCTGCAGGGACAGCTATATCTGAGTGCAATCACCTTAACACAATGACACGCCCCCTCTTGTTTCCAATGTACTCTAAAAACCATCATCCTTTACTTAATCTTAATGTCAGAAGGAAGTGGTTTAATATATGAAGCTCATTGCACTCAGAAAGAGTCCCGTCAGAGTTGGATCGATCTACGAAGACCAATGCTGAGAGGGCGCCTTGAACAGTTTACCTGGCAAACAGTGTGAAGAAATACACTGGCGCATATTAGTGTTGCGATACATATAGGTTTAATGTCCAATGCCTCTATACATTTGCCAACTCTCGATAACCCATAAAATTCTGAATTACAGTAAGTTGACTCTGAGCAACGTGCGCCAGCTGTGCAATGTGCGCTATGACCTACTTACAAGGCGCAGACTTGAGCTTAATCTATAGATAACACGACCTTAACACGTCCTTGACACAGCGTTGGAATACATAACGTAAAGGGGGAGATATTCCATGCATAGCCCAATAACTTTGAGCTGTTGCTGAGTGTCGGAACACATTCACATCAAGGAGGGCATAATGGCGGAGAACGTGCCGTCCCTTACTCTAAATAATGGCGTAAAAATGCCCATCATTGGACTTGGAACTTTCCAAGGAACTTACGATTACAAGGTAGATTGGACTTTGTACATGTGCATCCGATATTTGAGTATGGGGGTGGGGTGGGGGTGGGGGTCACGTGGGAGTGGGGGGGGGTACGCTTTTGTAAGATCTGTGTGTGTTACGTGCATGGACAGTATATAGAAACAGTATAGATCAATTAAGAAATTAAGTGAGTGCTTACGTGTGTGTGTGTGCACGTGCGTACATGTGCTAGAATGGGGTCATTGTGTGTGTGTGTGTGTGTGTGTGAGAGAGAGAGAGAGAGAGAGAGAGAGAGAGAGAGAGATCCATAGACTCCTGTAGGATTTCCATATAGTGCTTAAGAGACGGCCTTTAGGATGTTCTACTGAAAATTTCATAAGGGTTGGGGTTGGGGTTGCTTTAATAGCATATAACATAATCTGAAACACTCGTTGCACAACACGAGATTTGAATACCCAATATAGGTGAGGGGGTTCATTCCGTTTACAGTATACATCTTATTCTTTCACCCTAGAGCCCTTTCGATACTGTAGTCGAAGTAACCAAGGCTGCAATAGACGATGGCTATAGGCACATAGACACAGCCTTTATCTATGATACAGAAAAACCTGTCGGGCATGCCATCAATGAGAAGATTAAAGAGGGCGCTGTGACACGAGATGAAGTATTTATCACCTCCAAGGTAAGCGGAATTCGAAGCTCAATTATTCTTTAGATTCACGGCCGTATTTTGTTATTATATTAACCAGCAATACCCAGGTACATGTAATAGGCATTCCGTCCGGTCTGGCCTTATTGCCAGGGGCACTATGAAGCTAGATTGTAAACTATTCAAACCTTTTTACGGGATAGCTTCGTATTGCCGATATGGTTAAATATTAAATCAAGATCGAGCTGGGAATACGGAAATCTAGAACCTAGGGTATTCTGGTCCTGTAACCGTCTCTCTGTACCCCTATCAAAAAATAAAAAATTATATATATATATATATATATATATATATATATATATATATATATATATATATATATATATATATATATACTACCTCAAACTATAAACTACCCCTGTATTTACGAATATGTTGTAATATTTTTCCTCTATCCATTATTCCTCTATGCATTACCACCATCCTCCATTCAAANAACACCCACACTTCACCCACACTACACCCAGACATTTAACTATAAACCCTCCATACTCTCCACCCATTCTACACTACCCACCATCCGTTCATCCATAATATCCACCTTTAATTAATACACCCACCCATCTACCTTACCCTTTGTTTTACCCACCATCCATCTCAAAAATAATTGTATTTTGTTTACGAAATTGTTGATATATCTGTTCATATTATGTTTTACAATTAGCTGTGGAACAACTCTCACGCCCACGAAGATGTCCAGGTTGCAGTGAAGAAGAGTCTCCAGGCGCTGGGGATGGAGTATATTGACCTCTTTCTGGTTCACTGGCCGGTGGCTTATAAGGTATGGACACATTATATTTACTGGGAGATGGACAGACTGACTAACTGACTGGAAGGTAGGCAGGCTGACTGACTAACAGAAAGACAGACAGACAGACAGACAGACAGACAGGCATACTGACTAACAGAAAGACAGACAGACAGACAGACAGGCATACTGACTAACAGGCAGACAGACAGAGTGACAGACAGACAGGCAGAAAGACAGCATAGAAA